GCACATTCAATGAAATAAAAAGTTTTCCAAAGACAAATAGACAAATTCCATCAAGAAAATAATACAAAGTTCGTTCATTTGTGTTTTTTTTTTGTTTTTTAGAAAAATTACATTACTTTCTTTCATTGTTTCACATTACAAAATCTTTTTTTTTTTTTTTAATGTTTACACAAATCACATTTTATTGCAGGAATATTTCAAGTGCCATCAAATATTTATAGAAGGGTTAAAAAAATAGAAGTCTCTCTAAAGTGGTCCAGACAAGGCTTTGTATAGAATAAATCTTTTTTCCACCTTCTGTTTTTGTCTTAAGTATTTTCAATACATTTTTTTTCATTGACACTTAAGAGCCTAGAAGCAGCCACTCACACGCACCCACGCATATATTCATGTGCGCACAACAGTACTCTCTCTCACACACACAGGTGCACATACACACACAGATATCTTGGTATCCATACTAAGATAGATAAGCTTTAATAAAGAACAACCAAACTTAAAAACAGCCTCCCTTTTCACCTCATCCCATAGTTTTTAAAAACCAAACAATGTTAGAGATGCTGAAGTATGTTAGGGCCGTCCAAATGACAGTATACTATACTCTTTTCTAGAAAGCCAGAAAATATCTCTGTGGATAGTTATGCCCAATAAAAAGTCTCTTTGCAGACCTCAATGAATGGATCATTCAAGAGCAGTATGTTACTTCTTTATCTTCAGCTATCCTCATGTTTTTGTTTGTAGTCAGCTGGGCAGATCATGAAGATACTTGTGAATATCCACTGCCCCCCAGTATGGTTTTTAACTGAATAGTCTGTTGATTGTCTGACACCAGGCCACAGTCCCAGAGTTGTGCAGAGTGCACTTCCTCTGCCGCGTCAGGTTCTCACATGGCAGGCATTCCGGCCAGCCGCACTGAGGCTAGTCTACATCCCCTTTCATAACAGCCCCTGTGGCAACTGCCGTCTTTTCAGTACATCTGCCATGGCCGTATCTCTTTTTTCCTTGTCTCTACCAAGCGAGACAAAGCCAGTAATATTTTACTGCCAAGTGGCTGCTAACTGTGATCAGGAAAGCAGACTTCCTTGGGGTGTGTATGCACAGCCTGGTTTGACAAGGTGCTAGTACACAGGAGCTCCCGCTGTGAAAAACAGCAGTGTGTAGGTGCTGCATAACCTGGGAGATCATGGCACAAGCCAATTCTAGATGTAACAGGCTTTCAGTTAAGGCCTTATTAGGAACCCTTCTATGATTATGCATTTTATTATTAAATGCTCCCAAATTCTGTGTTGTCAGTGACTTATGGGTATAAATACTCTGAACTAGATACTGAACAAAACCATTGGCGTCTAAAGGCCTGGTAAAGTACTAATATTCATCAGGAAAAGATAGGTTAATGATGTGACTGAAAATTAATCCCAATTGCCTCGTAGTCTACTTATTTTCAGAAACAGGAGTTGTATCTCACTCTCTAAAAAAGTACAAGTCTTACTTCATTACTCATTAGTTGACACTGCAATTAAGTTTAGTTGATCTTTAAAGGACTAGCACCTCAGGCTGGTCACATTCAGAAAACATTTGTTAGTTAAAAATGTTGGTTTAAAAGTAGGAACACATACTGGAATCAAAGTACCGTATCATGCCAGTTACTCCAATAAAGTAAACAATGATTCTAGGAAAAGGTATCAGTGAGATTGCAGAGAGCGTGTGCTGGGCTGGGAGCGGGCAGGATGGCACAGCACAAGGACAGCTCTCTGGCCTCCATCCTGGTGCTCACAAAGCTGCAAGTGTTCCTGTCCACCTCTCCCTGCTTTCACCCCATATAGAGGAATGATAGCCAAGTGCTATCCAGTGCTATCTACAAGGTTCCCTGACGAAAAAAAACAACTTTGAGAGGTCATGGCTGAATGGCTCAATTTGACCCCAAAGGAAACATTCAAATCACAGAATAAATCTCTGTTTTGCTTGTAATGATCTGCTGTCCTAGTTCTTCTTTTAAAATGGTTAGACTTCAGTGTGCTTCTGTTCAATTCAATGTTATTTTCAATGACTGTATGTAAGCAATTTATTATCTTTGGAAATTGAAGTGGTGGAGTGCATTGTGGGTTTTTTCTCTTTTTTAAAGTCCTATTTTTTTTTCATATGTACTTCATCATAAACTTAATTTGTACAGGTCTATAAGACATCTGGTTGTGTGTACTCATCTCATCCAAAAGCAGTTACGCACCTCTGGTGCAATAAGCCACAGTTTATTTTGTGATGTGGTTTAGTGTGGATATGTTCCCTTCAGAACTAATTTAATTTCTGTATCTTGCTGCATTTACTCAGAGACAGTACTATATGTAAAGAGAATGGTAACGTATTAATAAAGATGGCAAGATTTGGCTTATCAGTTGGTTACGCAATGCAGGAATCACAACTTCAAAATGCCAGAATGTAGATTTACGGTATTTGTGATTTCCAGGCATTAAACAGAGTCCAAAACAATGTTTTCTAGCAACAGCGTACCCTTATTTTATTGGTCTGTTCTCATGTGATAAACTTTAAAGTGCATCGATTTAAATAAAGAGAGCAATTCTGTTCAGCTACTTTAAATTGAACTGGTGGATGTTTGAAGAACATGGGTCATTGTCTAATCTCACTGAAGCCAAAACCAAACATCCTGTGGATTTTGATAGGATAGAGTTTGGAGTTTGAAGGCATTGTTTACAAAATGGAGTAAAAAGTATGTAATATTATGTCTAAAAATCAATTTTCCACATACATGTCATACACATACTTTTACTGTAGATACAGACTTAAGTAAATCCCTTCAAACCTGGGTTTATGTTGGGCTTTGCACACTTTGTTAACAGTCTGATTTTCAAGGGTGAAGGTTTATTCTATCTGTAAGTGATCTGTAATTGCTTAAGATAACTTTGTCCAAGGAAACTCAGCACCTTTGAAAATGAGGCTTTTGACTTGTGTGCCTAAATCTGAATCTTGGCATATAATTTTAAACATCCAGGTTTGAAAGATTTGAAAACAAAAGTACATTTTAAATTAACAGTTGAAAAGCTGATTTTAATTTAGAAACTTTTCATTATTTTCTAACTCTTAAAAAAAAAATCTGTGTAACCATTTCAGGATATGACCAGCCTCTCTTTAAAAGTAACATGGAAAACAGCAGCATAAATACCTCCCAATGTACCAGTACCTGCCAAAAACCTTTTTCAGTTAAACTTGAATTTCTGGTGCACATGCAACACAACAATGAACACGCTAGCATTTAATTTAAAGAAAAAGGTGCAAAATGAAAGTGCCTTATCAATTCAACAAGAAAAGCTATACCAGTAACTACATTTTATATTAATTAAAACAATATATAAACAATATCTCTTTTGCTATATATAGTCTTCATGCCCATTTACCCTGTAATATATTATAATGCTATTGTTGCTATTGCTATGGACCCTTTTCATGCCGTTCTGTCTACTGGCAAACAGTGGTAGGTGAAAAAAATCGTCCTTCATGAAACAATGAGCAAGTTGTGCAAACTGATGCTGAAATCTCTGCAATGCACACCAGTCGCTGATTACTAGGTGGACTCTCTGTTCTGATCAACAAATTGATTGTTCTGTCAGAAGTCTGGGCAGTGAACTACAAGAGAAAACAACCTTCTGATATTAGTACCCTCAGTCTGTGTAAACAGAGGTCAAGGATTGAGAAGCTGAGACAGAAAAAGGGTCCATATTTGTAGGCATAATGGAAATCATATGCATGAGAAAAACAAGTTCAACTTTGTTTCATTGTTTCCCATCCTTCGCCTGACCCCGACTGCCAAGAGATGTGCAGTGTGTTGGCTCCCTAGGTCTGTGCAGGGCCATATAAAGTGTCTTGGTTTTCTTTTTTTCTTTTTTTTTTTTTTCTCTTTTCCTTTCTTTTGTTTTAATGTTTGTACTTCAGACATTCTAGAAGTGCTTAGGTGATACGTTTACCCATCAATTTGCATCGCTGGCTCAAATTCTGAAGTGAACAACTCCTTGTAAAGTGGAGGAAAATGAAGTCGTACAATGTCTGGGTATATTGCTTTAAATGCCATAAGCTTTTCTGTATGTCGTCCGCACAGTGCTCTTAAAGTAGACACTTTGCATATTAACTGTAAAAAAAATGAACAGAAGTCACAGAGTCATACATAGAACCAGGCCTCCTTAGGATCAGAGCTCTCTCAAACATACGGAATTCACTTCAGTTGTTTACCTTAACAGTGACATTTCAGAAGCATAGTAGTGGCTGAGTATGGTATGTCAGATTTAATAAAAAGGAAAAGGGGGAAGCCACTAAAATGCTATCAAGTAATGTATGAATACTATTTGTGAAAGAATCTTTCCTTGAAGTCGCTAGGAAAATGTATTACTTGCCTAGTATCTAGGCAATACCATGAGCACCAGATTGATATGGAACTATTACCTGTCTGGACCTTTATTCATGCTACTTAGCTACTCCCTTGGAAGAAGGCATGGCTGATAGCTCTTAAACCCACTGTATTATATAGGGAAATGGCAGTATAATAGATCAGGCTATTTACATTTATGCCCAATAAAGGTAAAATGAAATTGTCATAAAGGAAAGATCAGAAAAATCTGTACTCAAAAATATGGCTAGAGCGGTCATTGAACTTACTAAGTACATATTTGTACAAAAGCACTGGAACCTTCTAACAAAGGTATCTAAAGTATATGCTGGGAAAAGGATGATATAAGCTAGGACTTGAAATGAGGACAGTCTGGAAAGTCTAGACTTTATACTGGGCTGTAACATCCTGCTTGTTGTAATTAATTCCATGGTGTTAAACTAAGCATGAACAACAAGGAACTAAGTCTGCAAGGAAGTGCCTGTCCTTCCCCTGGTTTTCACTTTTTTTTTTTTTTAAAACATCACACTGCCTTTGAATTTTTGAAAACTTATGTGATGATACTTTAGATTAACATAATAGTATTTACTATCTCTTTTCTCCTCCCTAGCCATCAAGATTTGGAAAAACTGATGAGAAAAAGACTGTGTGGGGAACTCACGGAATGCTGAGAAACAAGGTTAGTTTGGATATTGTGTCTTGTCACAACCTAGTTGTCATGCAGACAGAGGTTTCATGAAGATCAAGGCCTGCATATTGGAAAACTGAAATAGTGTTCTGCATGGCAGAAATGTTGTTTAGGACAAGTAGAATAAAAACGTTGATGGGTTTTCATTTTCATTTTGCATTTATGCATTTACTAAACCATACTTTAGTAAACCACACTAAAGTATGGTTTAGTAAACGAATAAAAGCTTTTACATTGTTCATAAGAAAGTGTACTTTCACAGTCGTGACATGGCACAGTATGATTCATACCTTTGTTAGAATTCCATCTTCTCGGTGGTTCTTCTGTAGGACGTGCTGAAGTGCTAGCTGGATCTTCTGTTGGAGTTTTTCAATTTTTACCTTCTCCTGGAGCCATGAACGATCTAAATACAAATGGAGTTAACACCTCTAGTACTGCGTACATCCATCACATTGCACCAAGAAATACTAATTCTATTGCAAATTTGTATTTCCTGTTTGCAATCTTCCTTACAATTTAACATTCTTACGTAAGAAATGAGTTTTAAAATTCATAGGTTTTGGAATACATTTATTACCTCCATTTAAAAATACTTTTATAAAGCCCTCAATAAGAAGAGTGCTGCATATCTGAATAAGCTTTATTAATTATTTGCTAATAAGGTCTTTAAAATGCAGGGTGTTTACAAAACGAAGCTAGCAACTTTTTAGTGGGAAATGAATAGATTACACAATGAACAAGCAGTTGGAGTGGATCTCTTTGCTTAGACCTACAGTGACATACAGAAAAATCAGAAGCAATATTAAGCTATTCAAAAAGTGCTCCTAAACTTCCTAGCAGAAATGAAGGATTACCTGCAACAGCCAGTGTGGCAGAACTGAGGGATTCTGTAGCTTAAATACTAAGACAAAGGGCAAACATACTTCCATCACGGCAAATAGCATAAAAATATATTTATGATGGAGTCAATAAACTCACTGTTGCTAATAGACTCTTCCAACACATACTGCTGAGTCCACTATACTGCAGTTTAAAAAAAGACTGTATTTCCTTTGGTCTTATGCCAAACACAAACTGACTTTCTCAAGTGGTATCCTATTTCACCCAACTTAATATGTCTTCCCAGTACCTGGAGTACTGTGTGAATCTGTTTGAGATAATAATCTCAGAAAAAAACATATTTTATCACGTGCTTGTGACAATTCTGCTACAGCTGCACACTCACACACACTGGCAGTTGACTATATCAATTCAATGCTGTCCATGTTCTGCCTGTCCCACCTAGATCGCCCTGGTGATCTCAATCAACATGCATTTAAGCTTTTGTGAAGAAGCTATATCAACAACAAGGAGAAACATTAGAAAACATGGGTTTAGATTAGAATTTCCAACTTGATTTGTTCTTAAATTTATGTTTTAAATATATTTATGAAAAAAATAGGTCATGAGGGACCAAAACAATGTTGACATTTCATGCTGTCTGATAGTCTTAGCTTTACCATTAAAAGATACTTCAAAATGAAAATGAACTCTACCGTAGAAACCTAGAGCAATACTTTTTCTCTTACCTGCTGACATTAAAACAAATGCAGAAAACAAAGCTATCTCATCTTCTGTCAGGTGCATAGAACACAAACTTTTTCCAAATTCAAACACAAAACTAATGAAGTCTTCACAACCTGCCAAAAAGAAGGTGCAGCTCATGCCAAATTGTTTAAAACCATTTCAAAGCTACACAGTTGCTGATATATTCTGATGAAGGTGCAACATGGGTGTAAAATACTTCATGAGTGAACATTCTTCCCCTTAAGGACTGTTGAGTAATGATATTGAGATCTCATTCATGCCTGTTTTTTTTTTTAACCTATTCACCCTATTTTATTTATTTATTTATTTACCAATTTAACCTAGTCCCACAAGTCCCCCACACCCTGGTACCCAGTATTCTGAAGGCTTTGTACATTTTATCTTGTTGTTCTTTTGGGGAAAATACAGATGAAAACCAAGCCATTTTTGAACTCAAAATTAGTTTGGCTTTGTTGCCATTCTAAATGAAACTTTCTCATGTTACTGTGGACTGGATGTTTTAAATGTGTACTTGAAAAATGCTGATTTCAATAATATTGAGCACACAGAAGAGGGAGGGGAGAAAGGCATACAAGATACATGCAGGAGCAAAAGGAGAAGCCAGGGTCTGAAAGCTTTTCATGCAGAAAAAGAACTGTGTCTCCTTTCATCCATTCTCTTGCTCACACAGGTGTAAGTCAGGTTACTGCTGCTGTTACACATGCTGTTACGCAGTTCACAAAAGCTGAGCCCTGCTTTGAAAGGGACTGCAACCTCTGTTGGAATAGGGTTCTCCTCTGCAGATCTCAGCCCCCAACCCAGCTTAAATTTCTGGGTGTAGTTGGTAACAGATGAAAGTAATGTTTCATTGGATCTAGTAGCAGGTAGAGGCCCACATCTGATACTGCATTCTCTGAATTGTTTGCACTGAGACTTTGTACCTTGAGGTATTTTAGAAAGGCATGGAATACTTCATTAACTGTATGGTATTCTTCTGCCATATTGTCACTGCCATTTTTCACTGCCCTCTAAAATGGCTTACATCCCAAATTTATACCCAATTAAATGCATCCTTTTAAAAATAGAAGTTTAAAAAAATTGCTACGGTATGGTTTAATTAAAAAAAATATTTACAATATTTTACTTGCAAATAACTAGATTTTGCATATTACAAGGCACTATTAACAACTTCAAAGCAGTAATGTCAGTGTATCCAAAAGAGACTTAAAGTTTCTTTTTTTTTTTTTTTCAACAGGATACATCAAACTTTACAAGGGATTATGAAATCTGAGCTTGTTCTTCACAAGTGTGTCCAAACAGATCTACCCTGATCTAAGGTACATGATGGATTTTAACACCAACAATCCTTTGCTGCATGGAGTTAAGCTGTTTTAACTCCTGAAATCAGCTTGGCTTCAAACAGAGCCAGCACGATTGTTTACAAAATAAGCAGTTTGAGCTTTTCAACTCTCTTTTTATTTGAATACTACAAGCTGATTTTTTCAAGGCAGCTGTCTCTCTTGCTCTTCTACCTTATTGTTTTTATTCTGTGGTTTAAAATGCAACACTTGACATTTCCTTACCTAAGGACTTGAAAACCTCTGGGCTAGCATACTTGCCATCAAAGTAGACTGTGTTGTTCTGGGAGTCAAAGGCACGGCACATTCTGATGAACACAACCTCTAAAGACCCTAAAACAGAAACAATGTATGTTTGACTATTTAAGTAGAGACTTCAGTTGCAAGTGAGGATTCAAAAACTTCAAAATGTTCTGCCTTCAGTATAGATTGAGTAGAGTAGTAGGTTTCTGTAGTGCAACAAAGAATAGTTCGATTTGATAGTACAATTAACATAATTCCCATAAACCCCTTTAGAACTTTTTGTAAAAGCAACTTAGTTAATCCTAATAAATATTTTTCATTAGAATAATGAAGTCTCTGAAGTCAAAGCAGTTCATTTAGATTATGCTCATGAAGCTTTAACAGCTTTGTCCAAGTAATCTGCATTACTTCTACAACATCTTGTGTAGAACAATCTGGATTTTTACCTACAAATATGTTATTCACTGTTAGTACGCCAAATCAAAAAAATTAATCCAACTTCTTCATCCTTACACACTTATTGCTCCCTTTGTTCATAATGAAAATTTCATACATAGACTGGAACTCATCATAGAATGGTTTGAGTTGGAAGGGACCTTAAACATCATCTAGTTCCAACCCCCCTGCATTGGCAGCATACATCTTCCACTAAATGGAACTCATTCCATCCAGAGTAACCAAGAAAACATAGTATTTCAAACAGAAGACACACAGAATTTGTACGTTTGTTCTTGTAGTATTTTAAATTATCATTGTACAACATATGTATATATGTATACATAATAACTGTATACAGCTAGCACTTTCCTCAGTCAAAACTAATAGAAGCAGACCTTAAAATTGACCCACATACCTGCTTTTAAAAGCACAATTTGATCATTTTGACACAGTTCCATAAAGCCATCAATGCGTTTGGCAAATTCCACTACATACTGTATAGCTTCTGTTATTTTGACTGCGCATAACTGCCACATTACCTCCCTTTGCTGTTTGAGAAAGAAGAAAAATTGAGAAGTTACTAATTAAGGTTTTAACGTTTGGAAAGCCCATTTTCATAAAGTAAAACTGAGCTGAAAATCAAAGTGGAGTGAATTCTCTCCAGCAATCCTGGCTACAGTCTGCTTATAACAAAAGGGACGTTAACCTCAAAGAAAAAGCCTCATGAAGATGAGTGAAAATGCAAACATGTAAAACTTCTTCAGTGATGGCAGAGAGATCCAGGTTGCAATATTTTTAGTTCATAAGCCAAAAAATCTCCAACTGTAATAATTCTGGTGATTTCAGTGGGACTGTTACTCACTGCATCAAAAGAAAATACCAATTGACTCTAGCACTGCATAATCACGTTTTTCCTATCAACTTCTGTTTTTATTCATTTATTATTACAGAACATGAATTACCTAACAAGCTGGTCTTCATAAGGATACATATAAAGTATACGTATATGAAGATCATCTTGTGAATGACATAAAGGCAGCATGCAATTAGTGAATTTCTCTTATGTTAATAATAATTCAGGATGAGATTATCTAACAAGTGGAAAAAAATATTCCTAAAGGTTAAGTATTTTTTTGTGGAAATGAAAAATAAATTCAAAGAACAGTGTGCTTTAGTAGTGACTCTCAAGATAGTTTTCCAAAAGTATCCATTTGGTAGTAGTACGTGGATGGAAGGCATAATGAAAATACAAACAGGGATTAAAACTTACAATACCTACTGGAGGCATGGCAAGCATTCTGATGCTATTCTATAGGTAAATCTGAAACACTGTGACAGCTGTAGAATGAATCAGGGATCCAACCCTGGCAATGAAGGTGGGAAATCTGATGAGTTCTGTGTTTATAACCTCAAAAGGAAATATACCATGCAAAACAAGAAAGCGTCAAAGAAGCCAACAGGCTTTTTGACTGACTGCTATTCAGGTTCTTGATTATTGGATAGGAATGGAAAATGAGTAAGACACTCCAATCCAAGATTCATGCATGTCCTCGTATTGATGACTATTTTACAGATCAGCTGTAAAGAACTCTACAGTTACAACTTGATGGTTTCAACTGATTTTTATTTATTTATTTATTTATTTATTTGGATAATAGGGGTGATTACAAACTAAGAAGAGTAAATAACATGTCATTTAGGAGTGAAAAAAAATGCTGGTTTGTTATCTGTTTATCAATAAGAGACAAATATGTTTGGGAAGCTTTATCTTTTCCTGTACTTATAACAATCACAAATGCAAAGTATTTCCTGCCATACTCATTTAGGCTCTAGTACTGTTTGTTTTGTTTTGTTTTGAAAACACACAAATGTATATTCCTGATAGTAAACAGAAAGCAGTGAAAAAGTGAATTTTGCAGTGTGTTATGGGAATACCATGCTTTAGAAAAAGCATGCCAAACTACGGCACGCTTTTATACCTTGTTCTGATAGTTCTCAATTTCTTCCTGAAGAAAAGTCTGCCATGTTATCTGCTGTAGCTCTTCTCTCAAGTACTGGCAAGTTTCCATATGAGACTTGGAAATATTCTGTGCAAGATGTTCTAAAAGAAAGACCAAAAAGTTATACACATTAAAAATGCAAAGCTATACCTTCAGACATGAGGAAACTAACATACTCCATTTGCAAGTAGGAGGTGGGGAAAGGTTAGCTGTTAGAACGCTTTCATTTCAGATCTCCTTGGATTTTTCTTCACAACAATAAATTAATGCAAACTGCTAACTGACTCACGGTAAACAAAGCAGAATTCTGGATCTTAACATACCTGGCCCAGCTCCTCAGGGGCCCACAGCATCCATTAGAGGGCACTCTGCACATGCACATACACACATAACACACGCACACAATGCAGTTCTGAGATTTGAATGCAGGAACACCAAGTATAGTCCTTTCACTAGTTTGTAAGATGTTTAGGTGAACTTGAATTTATTTTTAAATAAAGAAAATTGTACTGGGGACAAACTTCTTACTTACACAGCAGTGGGTGCAAAGAAAGCCTGCAAGATCAAAAAACTTGAAAAGTAAAGGCAAAATTTAGTGAAACCAGAGAGCATTCAAACTACTGCAAATTCAGTAAGCGGCCTTCCTGCTTTTAAGTCAGCTTTGAAACCTGGACTAAGAATTATACTGTGAAGTACTGTTCAGACTTAGAAATCTTCTTTTCTGTCTTGTCTCTTGACATGTATTTTAGCACATAACAAGTAGAGGCCTAGTGCCTTGTCTCACAGTTCTGCAGTCAGTGCTTTTTCAAGTTAGGCCATCACTGACTGGGAAGGCTTGTAGTGCCAAGTGCAAGGGGCTGCACCTGTGTCGGGGCAATCCCAAACATGAGTAGAGACTGGGTGATGAGTGGATTGAGAATAGCTCTGCACTTGTGGGTAAGGGTAGATGAAATTAATACAACATGAGTTGGCAATGTGTGCTTGCAGCCCAGAAAGCCAACCATACCCTGGGCTGCATCAAAAGAAGTGTGACCAGCCAGTTGATTCTCCCCCTCTACTCTGCTCTTGTGAGACCCCACCTGCAGTACTGGGTTCAGCTGCAGGGTCCCCAGCCCAAGGAAGACGTGGACCAGGTCCAGTCTTGGAACAGGTCCAGAGGAGGACCAATAAGATGCTCAAAGGGCTGGAGCACCTCTCCTATGAAGACAGGGAGTTGGGAATGTTCAACCTGGAGAACAGAAAATTCTGGGGAGACCACAGTATGTCTTTCCAGTAACTAAAATGAACCTACAAGGAAGACGGGGCGAGTCTCTTTGCCAGGATGTACACTGACAGGACAAGTGGTAATGATTTTAAACTAAGAGTAGATGTAAATTAGATACTAGGAAGAAATTCTTTACTCTGAGGGTGGTGAGATTCTGGAACAGGCTACCCATGGAAGCTGTGGATGCCCCATCCCTGGAAGTGCCCAAAGCCACGTTGGATGGGGCTTTGGGTGACCTGGTTTGGTGGGAAGTGTCCCTGCAGGGGTCCAGGCAGGGGGTTGGAACTAGGTGGTCTTTAAGGTCCCTTCCGACCCAAACCATTCTGTGATTCTATGAAAGTGAAAAAGAATGGTGATCAAGAACTACATGATATCCTAAAGGACGCGAGTGTCAGGTCTTCTGTGAAATTTGCTTTGCTTAATAACACCCTATCCCAACTCTTCACAAATTGAGCTGCTGGACTGATCAATCTGTTTAGTACTTATTGCATTAATAGTTTGGTTTAAAATAATATCTAAAATCAGATTGTATTTGCTACCTGAACAATCAACAATCTACAACATAAGGTAGTTAATACTTTTGTTATTATCATCGCTTTCATGTATTTCAGTACAAATTTTGTTTACAAGTGTGTACTTAAAACATTTACCATTTACTCTTTTACTTTCACTAGCAGCATCTGACAGCATTATTCATATGCCCTTGCAGGATACAGAAGGTGAAATTTTACCATGTTATTCACTAACTTTAGCCTCAGTTCTAGACCATATTTAAGCACACACCTAAATACTTTCATTGAACAGCCACACCTTCCTAAATTGAAACCTTAGTCTGGAAGACAAACATTCTTCAGACATTGTTTGGCAATGTCAATGCTGGGCACCCAAATCACGTTCCACGAGGCTTAAATGCAAGCACTGTGTAAATAAAGGTAAGCAATACAACAAACTCATTTTACTAAAGGGTTCCAAACTCAACACCTGGCCTAAGAAGGAAAATCCCTTTCTTTATAATATAGGTTTAATGTTGATCTTTTACTAATTCCCACAAGAATTTTAACAACCAGCGAGTGAGACAAAGCCAGTAAAATAGCCTTTATCCTATTTTTCTTCTCATTTTGACTTTATCTGTAACTGAAGGTACTTGGAGAATGTAAATGAAAGTAAAACCAGCAGAATATTTTTATCATATGCTTGCCACTAAACAAAAAAATAGCAAGAGAAAAAGTTACTTTTGGAATACCTGATTGTTTCAGTTTTTAGGTTGTTTATTAATGGAATAAATAGGCATCTTAAAGCGGCTTCTCTAATGTCCTGTTCTAGTTCACTTTTGACTACTTGACTCAGTGCTCTCTAATTTAAGTCAGATATTGATAAGTAAGAGTTGTGGAATTCAGCCCTACTGTAATCACTGAGTGAAAGGTTTGAAATAAAATGTCCTAATTAATGTGGTCATTATATGGATCTTAGGGAAATTATCCAAACATGCTCCACTGAAAATTTTTCTGAAGTATCTGAGTCCAGATTCTCTTCAACCACTGGAAAAGAGAACTGCCCTCAGATTACATTAATGTTTTCTGTATATCCCAGCTACAGGTAAACAGTGGAAGAAAATCCACTGACTTTTCATATTAGAAAATCATGACTTGTCATTAGAAAATACGGTATTTACTTAGTAAAAAAGGAAGATAAGACATTCAAAAATAAATCTTCAATTAAATAAATACTCTTGTTGCTCAGAATTAAAAATTAGATTGTTCATCAGTATTCAGAAGGTACTATTACAAGAATTGAAAACAAAAGCAACATTACTAGATCTGACCTGTAACACTTCTGTAATGTGTTCAACCATGATTAGGGTATTGTGCACTTCACAGAAGAATGCCCATACATGCTCACAGCTGTCCTGAAACAGCATTCTCACTATCACCTGGCTAAATGTGTCATTTTAATCCAAAGGACACTATCAAGACAATTACAATGGAAGTTTTTCTCTCTCATTACCTAATTCTGCCATGGACACAGTTGGAGAGGTCTCCCCATTTGTAAAAGAACAATAAGGGAAGAAGCCCGATGCTGGTGTGTAGTCACATATTGGTTCTGGTTTGATTCCATTAATATCAAGACCCGACTGATCTGGAGAAGGTTGTATGTCTA